AAGCACGGCTTGGGTGGACGGCCCCTGAGTGGAAATGGCTACTGGGCTGTTTTTAAATTTGAGCCCAGTTAGCCACCAGGAGCCCTTCCTGGTAAGTGTCTCCTTTCTCAGGGTCCACAAGTTCCACGTACCCCACTGAAGGGAAGGAAGTATCCTGGAGAGAGAAAGTATAGACTGTCGACAAAAGGTGCCTGCCGCCGATCCAGTGCCAGCGAGAATCCCCATTCTGGGGTGTGGTAAAAGGAGAGGCTGACCTTATCCAGGTGAGCAGTTTGCGAACTGGGGAAACATACCCTTGACACTAAGAGAAAGTCCTCCTACAGAGAGAAGCGCCCACCCTGGTCCCCGGGTCGCCCATTTTTATGCAAACGAGAAACCCAAATTTGCCCAGTCTGATTGGTCCGTAAAGCACTGTCCTGATTGGTTGGAACTGAGTGGTTCTGATTGGCTGTTGAAGATGCAAATGAGGATGCAGCTGTGTGGCTCTCATATGATGGATATGATTCCGGGACCTCCTTTGGGGACTCTCCTTGGCATTGGATTGGCTGCAGGACCCAGGGCAGGCGGCTGGCGGCTCAGTCTTGGGCTTGTCCCTGAAACCCTCCTGTGTGAGAAGCCTCTCAGCCATGGCTACTAGACTTCGGTTGTGAATTTGAGCCCAGTTAACCACAAGGAGCCTTTCTTGGAAGGTGCATTCCTTCGCAAGGTCCGAAAGTGTCACTCTTCATGAAATCCTGACCTTTCGACCGGAAGTGACCGGTCCCTCCTTTAAGCCCCTCAGGAAATGCTCTTGCTCTCTCTGTCTTACGCTTTGGGCATTAGTTCTGCTCCCCTCCGGACGCCCACCCCAGCCCTCCCCGCCGGAAGGAATGGGCTCTCCTGTCTTCCTCTTAAATACCTAGTGACCTAGCACGTCGTCGTGCACTGAGCCGACATTCGACGCTTAATTGGATGTTAAACTGTATTTTATTGATGTTTACTCCCATCTCGTTTTTAAAAAAGATTTGATCTCTTACATGATGTGTGTGTGTGTGTGTGTGTGTGAGCACATGCGTGCACGTATGACATTTCCACAAACCCAGACACCCAGATCTGGGATTTAAAAAAAAACTATTAAAATACATCAATAAGGGTTATTATTGCTATACTTCTGTCAATTATCATTTATTTAAGCTGAAGTCTCCTCAGTTTAAATTATGCAACCCTTATTCTTTAGCATGAGACAGGTGTTTGAATTTCCCAAGGACTTGTAATAATACTTTTCACATCTTTGGAGGGGTCTGGCCCTGTTCAGTGTTTCTAGGGTGACAGTTGTCCCCAAAGGCACTCAGTGCCTGTCCTTAAATTCAGGCATTGTTAATCTTCACAGTAGGTTTATAAAAGGGACATTAATTAAGGGATATGGTAACAGAATCGCACACTGTTGAAAGTGGACGCCTTCTTGGAGGTCATCTAGTGACAGAGACCCTGAGACGTGTCACAAACCACAACAGTAAGAGCTGTTCCCCTTGACAACATTTGCTTTTGCTTCTTGCGCCGTAGCTTCTCCCACAGGGACACGCAGAGTGGCGGAGATTTGCTGACAGAGCCGGCTTTGTATTTAACATTCACACAGCTGGGGCGCACCCCAGCTGGGAGTTCACCGGCCGTCCTCTGGGGGGAGGTGTTACCGGGTTCCAGCGCTGCGCCGGCCAGCAAGCCACCGAGGCGCCAAGTTCAAAGCTGCGGACGGGTCGCTGGAGACGCCCGGAGAGGAGGCTCCGTCCTTCCCAGGCCAGCGCAGGAGGATGCCCAGCACCCAGCGGCTCCGCCTGCCTCCCGCGCAAGAAACTCGCTCGGGTCTGCGACAGTGGGCACACGGGGCGCCAACACTCAGGGACCCGGCCCCGGGTCACTGCTCTCCCTGCTCCACTTGCGGTTGCATGAAGAAAAGGGGCGCCCTTCCGCGCCACCCCGCGGGCGTGTAGCCCAGCGGAGGGGGGCGCCCGGGCGCTTCCTGCCCCTCCCTCCCCTCCTCGCCCCTCCTC